GTTGGTGTGGTAGTGGTAGTAGTAGTTGGTGTTGTTGTAGTTGTCGTTGAAGAGGTGGTCGTTGGCGTGGTGGTAGTAGTAGTTGGTGTTGTGGTTGTTGTCGTTGAAGAGGTGGTCGTTGGCGTGGTGGTAGTAGTTGTTGTTGGTGTGGTAGTGGTAGTAGTAGTTGGTGTTGTTGTAGTTGTCGTTGAAGAGGTGGTCGTTGGCGTGGTGGTAGTAGTTGTTGTTGGTGTGGTAGTGGTAGTAGTAGTTGAACTCGTAGTAGTAGGTGTTGTAGTGGACGTCGTTTGTGTAGTGGTAGTCGTTGTGGTTGTTGTCGTTGATGTCGTTTTTTCACCCTTTGAACACTGCTTCCGAACGCATTCGAATCCTGTGGGGCAACCACTACAGCTTTCTCCCTCTTTGTACGGCATTTGTCCCCTTATATTTCCACTTAAAATTCCGACCAAAACATTAAATCACTATTTTGTATTATTTTAAGGTTTCAATACAATAATACTAACTAATTATTTATATTACATGGGAATTTGTGGTTTTGACTTAATAGTACATCTGCAACAAACACTGTAAGGCAGGTGGAACACTTTTGCCTTTTCGGAAAGGTCAGTAGTTATTAATTTTAGCTAACCAGTGTAATAAGTAATCTACTGCTGTATATAGTTAAAAAATGCATTTCAATGAGTACACAAGCCACACGATTTCTATCATTTTAATGGATGCCCACTCGGTCATAACCCAGTTCGGCGAAAGATGTACAAAACCTTGACTTTACTTCGTGGTCAGTGACAAAAATGCTAAAGAAATCCTGGTACTCGTACAAAAATATTAGATTTTTTTTTCACATGTGTTGTAAAACATGAGTGTTAACTCACGCTGGATAGTATTGACAAGCCATGAGGTAAATAGGCTTGGGCCACTCGGGTTTGATATTGTCGCATCGCTTCATCGCACATCCGAGACCAAATGACGTCGCCCATACCATCTTTAAACCAAAAGTTAAAGATGGTGTAATGGAGAAATGAATGCTATTAAATATCTAATGTCACTTTACTCGATTTTATTGATACAATACTTCTTAATAATGGTCGAATTCTAGACAAAGTGACTTGTTACTACCACCAACGATAATCAAGTTCTATAAAAGACCATACTAATTGTACTCTCAACTAACAGCACAATTTAGAATTAAAAGTACAGCTAAAACTCAGACAAGGCCTACAAATAAACGATTTTGACGTTTTGAAGTCACATCTGCAACACACAGCTTGGTAAAGATGTGCATTGTAATAGTTTTGCATTGATCTTTGTGGGTTAGCAAGAATTACACTCTCATCCACTTACTTGAGTGTAGTGACCGCAAACCCTTGTACAAGAATTGTTGGCATAGGTATAGTAGTTTCTCTCATTTAACCATCCTTGAGCCATTTGTGTCATACTTGGCTTGTAGCCGCCAGAAATTGCCAGGTTTTGCCCAAAGCCCCTGTATTCCAGATCAATCGAAGGATTTGGATGTTTGAATTGACAGCGGTCAACCCATTTCACCGCCAAAAGCTCCATCATCATAGAGTAGCTCTTAAGGAAGACAAATCAGTCATTTACTGGTCGGCTAGTGGAATGATTTCACTGCAAATTTTAATTGCTGTTATTGGCATATTTGAAATAGCTGACATATTTGTTTTTGCAAATTCGGTAACAAACAATAACGCGATCACGTTGTCTAGATTCTGAACGAAAAAAAATGGTTAAAGAAAGGCATTAGAAATCGGAAAGGTTAAAAGACATCAAAATATTTCTGCAAGTTTGAGCATGCAAAACTGCACAATTGCAACATGTAAGCAAGTAGAATACTATAGTGGATCATTTGTCAGACCTACATCAATGAAAGACTACGCACACATAACCGTCTCGAAACATTTAATAACAATTACAAAAAAAACAAACACGGTGTGAAGTAATAAAAACACCGAAAATTTGCAAAAAGAGAATCATGAAAGCATCACGAACCATCAACATCATGTTGCTTGCAGGAGGATAAACTTCTTCACGCGCTTGTCTATGGAATTCCAGTATTGCATCACGGTCTTCCTGCGATGGAGCGACGGTGACAGATGGAGTGGTAAGTGTAGTTGGTGTGGTCTCGGTGGTTGATGTGGTAGTAGTGGTTGCTTTTGTGGTGGTAATCGTTGAAGAAGTAGTAGTAGTTGGAGTGGAGGTGGTCGGTGTTGTAGTAGAAGTCGTTGGTGTAGTAGTAGTTGTTGTTGATGTTGGTGTGGTAGTTGTCGTTGTTGAGGTGGTCGTTGGCGTGGTGGTAGTAGTTGGCGTGGTAGTGGTAGTGGTAGTCGGTGTTGTGGAAGTTGTCGTTGTTGAAGTGGTCGTTGGGGTGGTGGTAGTAGTTGGCGTGGTAGTGGTAGTAGTAGTTGGTGTTGTGGTAGAAGTCGTTGGTGTAGTAGTAGTAGTAGTTGTTGTTGGTGTCGTAGTTGTCGTCGTTGAAGTGGTCGTTGGCGTGGTGGTAGTCGTTGAAGTGGTAGTAGTAGTAGTAGTTGGCGTGGTGGTAGTCGTTGTCGTTGTTGTCGTAACCACCTTCTCGCACTGCTTTCGATTGCACCGGAATCCTGAAGGGCATTCTTTGCAGCTTTCGCCTTGCTTATATGGCTTTGTTCCTATCATGTTTCCTCTATACAATAAGATTAGAAAGGATTTGAATTGTAATACATTTTCGAGAATGATGCACATTGGTACAATTTTTTGAAAGCCGGTGAGCGTCAAAAGTTTTTTATACATTATTGGTTAGTGAATGATTTAAAAACATAATTACTTTCCTCTTATTGGTAGTTTGCTGTAGTATGCACATGTATATTTGCGCTGATACCCAAGACTCTGACACAAAAATGCCCACTGCCCACAAATTTACCTGGTGTAATGCGAAGGAGATTATGACAACTGTACAATACAAGATTATCTTTTGTCTTTATATCCCGCAGCATTAAATAAGTAAGATCTGTCGCATAGTGGTTCTTGTTTTCTAAATCAAACTATGTGACTCACGCAGGTTCGTATTGGCAAGCCATGAGGTAAATCGGCTTGGGCCATTGGGGATTAATATTGTCGCATCGCTTCTTAGCACACCCAAGACCAGATGACGTAGCCCACACCATCTTTAAAATAACAGACAAGTGTCAGTAATAAAAATATACATTGTACTTCATAGGATTCTCCTATTCCAGCCAAAGAACAAGTTAGTCACTAATATAGCAATTTGCTTATTTACCAGACGCTTACTAGACATTTCGATATCAGATATTTGAAATATGGTCATATGAGCTTCAAAGAGACCTAATTTTAACAATTAACACATCTTAAATTCTTTAATGACAAAATCTCTTTACACTTGTCTTCAGCAGAAATCTCAAGAGCAACGAGTTTACTTTGCTAGCGGTTTGTAAAAGCAACTTGTAAGGACAATTCTTCCGTTTGCGGAATTGGTTCCACATTTCTACAAATCACAATTACCCTGTTCAATTATGACCCACTAACTAGATATTAAAGTCAATTTCTCCAATTTCACAAGATTAATCCAATCGTGAGTAAGAACTGGCCCTAATAAACACAAGTCACTCACTTGGGTGTAATGACCGCAAACCTTTGTGCAGGAGTGGTTGACATAGGTATAATACTTT